GTGTCACCCGGCATGGTGTCCCTAGACATACGTCTGGCCGGTGTAGCCCGGCATGTTGTACCCAGACGTTACGTCTGGCCAGTGTAGCCCGGTGCGTTAGTATCAAGCTGTTTTCGTCGGTCCGGGGCCCCACAGGCACGTGTCCAGTTCGCCTGCCGGGGTAGCCAGAATCGTTGCTCCCAGACCTTACGTCTGGCCGGTGTTGCCCGGCAGGTTGTTTCCCAGGCGCTTCTGTCTGGCAGGTGTAGCCCGGTGCGTTCGTCACAAGTGCCTTGTCCGTACGTTGTAGCACGGATTCCTTTCTCAGTTGCAAGTCTAGCGTTCGTCTGCCTGCCCGTCCATCTTGCGTCGTCAGGCGTTCTTCAACGTCGGAGTGGGCCCGCTGGCGTCGAAGCACAGTCCTGCGTTCAGCCCGACGACGTCTGCAGGCGTCCCGGATGCCGCTACGGTAGGTTTTCGTCTAACGGTAAGCGCCACGGGTCCAGGGTTCGACGTCGGTGTTGCAGCCGGCAAGCCAGGACTCGTCCCCCTCGATGTTCGTTAAGCCCTCGGCGTCCAGAACCAGGGGAAGTAGCCCTGGGCGGGGGTGGTGGCCCTCACTGTTGCCCGGGGCCCGGTTTTCTCAGCAGGTGGCTGTGTCAAAGCGTCGTCGAGAGAAGGCTGGTAGCTGTGTTGCGGGCCTCTTGCCCCTTGCTTTGTTTATTCAAGCTACTGTTTAACTTTCTTCTCTGGGTTTTCATTTTGGTTGTTTACCTTTTGCTTCCGACTTTAAGTTATTAAGTAAAGTCAACTAGGTCGTGCTAGTTGCAGCTCTCGGCCCCCCCCCTTTTTTCTTTGGCCTCTTGCTTAGCTTATTCCGGCTTACATGTAGGATTAGTTTACCTCTACATTTTCCCGCAAGCTATGCTTCGCTCTTGTTGCATAGTTAATGTTCTTGGTCTACAATTACGGGTGTTTAACTAGTGCTTTTGCCTTTAAGCTATTGGGTAATTTCAGCCGCGTTGGGCTCGTTGCTGTGTCTCGGGCCTCATGCCCCTAGCTTTAAGTTATCTTGGTCCTGTTTCGTTCAGTCTTCCTCAACCCCACTCACCTTCTGCGGGCTATGCATTGCCAGCTGCATGTTTCCTTTTCTGGGTTACATTTATGCTTGTCTTCCCCTTGACTCTGTACGTTTAGGTAAGGCCAGCTCGGTGAACGAGTAGCGGCTTTCGGTTCCCTTGTTTACTCGGTACCAGCCTTCTTCCGCATTCTTCCATTTCATTCTATGCTGTTTACGCCCACTCGCCTTTGCCTTTGGGCCTATGTCCTTCCTCAGACCGGGTTGGGTGCCGTTCAGTGCGCCTCGGCGACGTTATCTTCTCCCCAGCCCTATGTTACTTCCATTTCCCCCCCAGCCGTGCGGGCGCGCCTGTGGGAGCCGTCACCTTGGTTACCTCCTACGTCTGCTTATCTTCCCCTCCCCCCTCCTTCGTGCCTGTGGGTTCCTGTCTATTACTATCCCCGGCATTGTGTCTATATTTGCTTTTAGTTGCGGTGGTGTATGTTATGCTAGCAGGTGCGGCAGCCGGTTTTTTTTTCTCCCTGCCTGTCGCCAGGTTAGTCAGGCCGTCACAAACGTTCCCTCTTTCTGCAGTGGTGAGAAGCCGGACCACCCAACTTCTGCAACATGGAAGAGGGCACGGATGGCGTCAACGCGAGGACAGCAACATAGCGGAGCAAGGACACAGCCGGCCAGGGCGCGGACTAAGCCCGCACGCTTTGCTTCCCCCTCTGCAGAGGCCTCCTTGGCTGGTTCGGACACGGACGGCGGGGGCACTTCTCAGCTGCGCAATGCAGGCAAAGCAACGGGTGGCACAGTGACACAGCTACCAACCCTTTCAGCAGATGACTGGACGACGCTGCAGGCCCTCATTGCGCAGGCACGTAGGCCCTCCTCAGGCGCAGGCCACCGGGACGGGGGAGGTGCCGTGGCCGCCCCTCCCCCGGCTGTCCCAGCTCCCTCGCCCTTCCCCACCGAGCGTCGCCCTCGATCCAGGGCCAGGGGGGCATACGTCGAGGCGCTGTGCCAGCTTCTCCAGCCTGTCCTCTTATGGTGAGTCTCCCAGGGTGAGTGCTTCTCCCCCACTTACTAGCCCTTGGGTGGGA